CTCCTCCTCTACATGGTCTGCATATTGCTTGGTGTTGTACACCAGTCATTTTGGCTTGAAATACTTATGTATTAGTCCAACTCTCTCCTTCAAATGTCAGGAAAATACATATAAAATTGGATATTATTAGGCATTCACTTGGCTATCTAAGATGCACTGAAGCAGTTTAGCAAAAACCCAACCAACCAACCAAAGAAACAAACAAAAAACAAATTTTCAATTTTTACTCTTCTAACCTGCATTTAAGAGCCCTGGTGGTACAGTGGTTAAAGTACTTGACTGCTAACCGAAAGGTCAGCAGCTCAAACCCACCAGTTGCTCTATGGAAGAAAGATGTGAAAGTCGGTTTCCATGAATACTTCCAGCCTAAGAAAAATGCTGAGGCAGTTCAACTCTGCCCTCAGGGTCACTATGAGTCAGAATCTACTCAATAGCAGTGGGTCTGAGTAACCTCATATCTCTTATTCATTTTGACTTCAGTAAATTATACCACCATCTACACAGTTGCTCAACAGAAAATCTACAACATTTTTAAAATAATTTTTTTGTTGTTAAAAATAAAAACAGCAAAACATATGCCAATGCAAAGATTTCTATATGTACAGTTCTGTGGAACTGATTATATTCTTCAAATTGTGCAACCTTTTTCCTCTTAACTTTTGGAATTGATTTTCCTCTATTAACATAAATTCACTGTCCCTTAAGTTTCCTATTTAATCTTTCAAGTTGCTGCTGTCAGTTTGATCCCATATAAAGGCAGTTCCTTGATTCTGAAAGAGTTCCATTCCTAAATCTGTCTTTACATTGAATATGTATATAATTGGGACAGTTAAGGACAGTTTGTGTCTAACATCAGGTATTCAAATGTTTGTCTTAGTATATCATATATGTTGTTGTTGTTATGAGCCATCGAGTCAGACCCGACTCATAGCAACCCCTCCTCTGTTTCCGAGGCAGTATCACTACAGAAGTAGATTGCCCCATCTTCTCTCCGAGGAGTGGATGGTGGATTTGAACCACCAGCCTCCTGGTTAGCAGTCAAGTGCATTAGGCACTATGCTACCAGAGCTCCCATACCTTTCAATACATTAAAAAAAACCTTCTTGATACCCTAAAACATCTTTAATATAATATAGTAATAATAATATTTTGATGTACATTTTGTTTGTTATTATGAACTATTGTATGTACTACAGATTTTTTCTATCTATTGTGTTCTCTCCTGAAATGAGCTGAGTAAAGCTGACAGCCAGCATACAGTGCCCCCTTATGTCATTCTGGTGATGCCAAGCAGCCGGGATGTGAGCACCTCCCAGCTTGAGTCTGTGCCCCTTCTGCTCTCTTCTGAAACCAGTGGGAAGATGTGCCACCACTGAAGGTGTACATGCATGCTGAGGGTCACTGGGCTCCAGGCTGAAGCTTCTCCTCCAAGTACATTTGCTCAAATAAATCCCAGAAGCTTATACCACAACAGTTATGAGCACAGGTTCTGGATCTAGACTGCCTATGTTTAAATTAATATCAACTCTTCCACTTTTTAGCTTTGTGACAGGTAGCTGTGTGACTTTTCCTCTCTGTGCCTCAGTTTCTTAATCTCTAAAATGAGGATAATAATTATATCTATCTCATAGGGTTGCTCAGAACATTAAAGTTGTATATATGTATATATTATATATATGTATGTGTGTATATATTTAATTTCTTAGAAGAATATCTATTTGATTGTTAAAAATAAGGGACCATAGTGTAAGATTGAATAAGAAATAATCCACCACACGACGGAGACTGTGAAAACACTTGTGTATTCTGACATTGGAATTGAATAAAGAAAGATGGGGTATTTCCTGAGAAACTGTAACTATAACTGGTGCTCAAGTGACTTTGAGTTCTGAAATCACACTGCGTGTATGGCCTTAAACACTTCAAGGAGAGAGAGTAGAGGTGACTGCAAGGAAACTGTGAAAGCAAATGTATATCCTTTCTGTGAGACTAGAGCTTTAGCTCAGGCCACCACCTAGGATTTTATGGCCAGGAAAATGGTCTTTCAAGAAATAAAGTCATATTCAGACAAACAGTTCATTACCAACAAGCTGTCAGTTAAAAAGAATTTTAAAGGATAAAATTTCAATAGGAGAAAATGATCCCAGATGTAAAACCAAATAGTGAGGAAAGGTATGGTAATATATGGGTGAACATAAACAGAAACTGACTTATAAATTCATAAAAATAATGTATAATCTGTAGGATGTAAGGAATGAAGTAAAATACTAAGTAGGAGTAGTTTAAGTTAGGGCAATGATGATTCAGTTTAAAGTGTCTTCTGATTTTTTATATTGTTTTTGGAGAAGGGTCAACTTTAGACATTAAGTGAAGTAAGCATGATTAAAATTTTTTTAAAAAGGTAGGGTAATCATCAAAAGAGTGGCAACCAGAGGGAAAAATAGAATGAGAAAGCAGAGGAAGATACAGAAGATATTGGGCAAATAATAAGTACCTAAATGGATAGAAATGAATTCAGATATATTAATAATCATAGAAACAATGAATAAACTTTCCTCTTAAAAGACAAGGATTTTCATACAGAATAAAATAGGAGAAATGTACCTACTTGGTACTTAAAAAAGATACCCCTAAAACACAAGAATAAATAACGTTAAGTGAAAGAAGCCATTGTAGAAGCTATTTGCAGTATGATGCTAGTCATATAAAGTTCAAAACTAGACAAAATTCAATAGTTACATTCAGGATAACAAATAAGTGGCCAAGTATATAAGGGAATGAGTACTGTGTAATGCAGGACATGGTTACCTCATGCGAGAGAAAGAGAATGATAAGATGGGGGATTCCTAGGGAGCATTAAGGGCTTGAAACACTCTTATATCAGGCGTTGTGTACACAGTTGATTGATTTATTTTTATTCTTACAACGATTTTGTAAGTATACTGCAGTTTGTAGTTCAAATGAAAATTGAGAAAGGCCTGGAAGAATGGGGAAAAAAGATAGTCTTGTAGCAAAATGTACAGAAGTTGGAACTCACTGCCAAGGACTTCTGTCAGCGTGGTCCACGCAACCAGGTCAGGAAGCAGACAGTTTTTAGTGGAAAAGCACTCTTACATGAAGCAATGGCTCACCTGGTCTACTGTAGCCTACACTGCCCCTCCACTGTAGCCTCAGGCTGACCTTGATCTCTGTAACAAACCAGTGACCTTTAACCAGGCACACATGGTGTTAGATGCCCCCAGGTGCCCTCAGGTGAGGTGAATGAAATACTTGAGAGCTGCTGTTCTGGAGCACCTGTCCTTTGGCCTGAATGCTGTTTTAGCCTCTGAAGGGTATTTTAGAATGACAATTGCCAAATAGTGAAAAGAGAAGGAATAGTCTGGGGCTACTTCAGTGGAGCAGTCCAGCTCTTCCTCCCCACCCCCAATTCCCCATTCCCTAAAATAAGGTAAAATGATCCTCCTCAGCAAAGTTTTACAGCTCTCTCTCTGTCTCCTGGGTTAAGGAGATTCAGTGTAGGCACCTTAGGTCCAAAGGACATACTCCACTCCTGGCTCTTCTTTCTTGATGGCAGATCACTTTTCACCTCTGGGATGGCTCATTTTAAGCCTAGCAACATGGCAAAACTGACCAATCCTCACATTAAGATACCATACAACTTATCTGCATGGGCCAGTCCCCACAAGAATTCCATGTACCTTGTTTAAATTATTAGCAAACTATCCAATTTCCTTGGTGCCCATAAGGACCTCACATTTGCATAGTCCCACCAGTCATCTGGTGTGTGTCAAGGTTGTATTCTTTTCCCATAGTTATTCAATCTGTATGCTGAGCAAATAATCTGAGAAAGTGGACTATATGAAGAAGAACGTGGCATCAAGACTGAAGGAAGACTCATGAACAACCTGTGATAGGCAGATGGCACAGCCTTGCCTGCTGAAAGTGATGAAAATTTGAAGCCCTTACTGATGAAGATCAAACACTACACCCTTTAGTATGGATTGATTATACCTCAATATAAAGAAAACAAAAATCCTCACAATTGGAACAATAAGCAACATCACAATAAATGGAGAAAAGATTAAAGTTATTAAGGATTTCATTTTATTTAGATCCACAATCAATGCCCATGTAAACAGCAGCCAAGAAATAACACAACATATTGCACTGGTAAATCTGCTGTAAAAGACCTATTTAAAGTGTTAAAGAGTAAAAATGTCGCTTTGAAGACTAAGATGTGCTTGACCCAAGCCATGGTATATTTCATCTCAAATATGCATGTGAAAGCTGGACAATGGGTAAGGAAGACCAAAGAAGAATTGATGGATTTGGATTGTCGTACTGGTGAAGAATATTGAAAATACCATGGACTTCCAGAACAAACAAATTTGTCTTGGAGGAAGTACAGCCAGAATTCTCCTAAGAAATGAGAATGGCCAGATTTCATCTCTAGTACTTTGGTCATATTATTGGAATTATGGGCTCAAGCGTAGCAGCGATTATGAAGATGGCATGGGACCAGGCAGTGTTTCATTCTGTTGTACATAGAATTACTATGGCTTGGAACAGACTCGATGGCACCTAATAACAGCAACACCAATCATTTGGTAAAAGTCCTAATGACCATGGATAGAAGGGCCATACCAAGCAATTCACTGCACTTCAATCCATTTTCCTGATTTTGCTCCTACAGAGAACCCAGCCTAAAACACACACTTCAGCATGCCTGATAGTCACCTGGTGGACTTGATTAAAGACACATTGTTGAGCTCTGCCTTCAGAATTTCTGATTTGGTAGCTCTGTGGTGGGTTCAGAGAATTTGTCTTTTTAGCAAGCTCACATTTGATGCTGCTGCTGCTGGTCAGGGCATGACACTTGTACAACCTCTGAACTAAAATGTCTTTTTTCCTTGCAAGATGTGTCTCTTTATGAAGATCTCTTCTACCTGTTCTCTGACTGAACACCATGCAGAGACTCCCTCCTCTAATGAATGCATTTGCTACTTCAGCATCCTCTGTAGAGCTGCCTTCACCTCCTGGTTCTTGAGGCTGTAGATGATGGGGTTCAGCAAAGATGTGAGCACACTGTACTGAATGGAGACCACTTGCTCCAGCAATGAGCCTGAGGGAGGGCTGATGTACCTGAATAGACCTGTCCCATAGAACAAGAGCACCACGGTGAGGTGGGAGGAACAGGTGGAGAAGGCTTTGCCTTGGCCTCCAGAAGAGCGAATGCTCAGGATGGCAGAGATGATTCTGCAGTAAGAGAAGAGGATCAGTGGAACTGACAGAAGCCCCAGAAATGCAGTTGACCCAGACAGAAGCAACTCGTTGGCAGTGGGATCCGTGCAGGACAGCAGGAGCAGGGAAGGTAGCTCACAGCTGAAGTGGGGAATGGTGTTGGACCCACAAAAATGTAACTTGTAGATGAAAAGATTATTCACCAATGAGTTCAGAAACCCCATCGCCCATGCTGCACTGACCATCACAATGCAGAGAGACTTGTTCATGATGATGGTGTACAGCAGAGGGTGGCAGATGGCAGCATAGTGGTCATAGGCCATGGCAGAGAGCAAGCAACCACCAGTGGTCCCAGAAAGAATGAAAAAGAAGCTTTGAGTGATGCAGCCACAGAGTGAGATGCTGTTCTTGTGAGATAAGAAGTTCTGTAGCATTTTGGGCACGATGACTGAAGATAAACAGACGTCTAAGAAGGACAGTAATTGGCTTTGTCTACTCGAGCTGCTCTTTGAAATCTTCTGTTTAGCTCTTTTACCTTTCCATTTCTTCCATTTGCTTTAGCGATTCTCCACTCAAGGGCAAGGTTCAGAGTCTCTTCTGTCATCCACTTTGGTCTTCTCTTCTTTTCTTGTCTTTTTAGTGATCTCTTGCTTTCTTCATG